AAATGATCAATTAGAGGGTTTTTTAACATCAAAACAACATTTGTGCACTCGTCGACAAGACATGATTTTTTGAAGTGCACCTTAATTCTACATTTTAAAGTTGCAAGTTTTTATAAACTTTTCTCATTAATTTTTGCTATTATGACTACATTTTTTTTTATTAGGGCCTATATTTGTTTAGGTGGAACTTTTGGATAGTAGGAGAGCTCAGTGGAACTTTTGGATAGTAGGAGAGCTCAGTTCCATCAAACAAATCCCACATTCGTTGCACCCTTGTGGAAGCTCCACAATGGAGCTTTTGGCCTCCATGCTTCCTAAAAATATCCAAACACCATGAACACGAAAGAAACCAGTACCAAGGGCAGGAAAGAAATCGTGTACACATGAAAGATGTACCCAAAGTGCACATCCACCGTACGTTTTAAGTGAACAATAGTGATGAATCACTAACATGGTTCATCTCCACTGTTTGATCGCTGGAAGTACGGTAGATTGCGTGTAGAACTCCTACAGTGAAACTACACATAATGTTTAGTGCTTACGCTTACCCCCTCAATGGAAATCTTGAAAGAAAAGTACTAGCATCAACATGTAGTACACAGTTGAAGGGTGCAAAATAATGTCCCATATTAAGAGAAAAAGAAATTCACGGTCATGAATCTTTGTAATATAACGTTTTTAGGGATTGTATATAATGAGACCATTTACATTTTATACAAGGTGGTCACAATTCTTTACAACCATTTGATAGCTTGAATGTGTCATAGAGTCCGAAAAAATTTCTATGGAAGTTTGAGTTTGGTCAATGGAATAATTGCAACCATCCAACTTTACATCCAATGGCAAGATTATTGTGGCCACATTCTATAAAAGGTAAATGGTCACATTTTATACTTTCCCATGTTTTTAGTATGGAAAATTGTTTCATGCGGCAAGGACCTTATTTCTACATTTGCGGTCCCCTAGTCCATCTTAAAGATGGATGCAAATAGGTGGTCCATCTAAAAACAATTGAAACTAACAATTCAAATGTTTTATTAATATAATTATTATTTATAATTTTTGAAACTTATTTACTTTTTACATTCATGATCTCCATTTTAAAGATTACATGTCCTTAAAAATTAAGTCCAAAAATCCATCTCAAAAATACATTTTTAAGAGGTGACTCATTTCTACATGGACTTGTAAGAACCATGTCCTTTTAATATTTTTCTATACTTTGAATTAATTTAAAATTTTGGAGGTTAACAACCTTCCATCAGGCGCAGTTAAAAATATCAAAAAATAATTTTTAAAAATAAATTGATTAAAATACCTCTAAATATTCCAATGGCTTTTTGGTTATTTAGTTTTCCAAATTATTCTTTAAATTTGTTTTAGTTGTCACAAAAGCCTCAAAATTCCGGTCAACCAAATTGGTAGAAAACAATAAAATAAAATACTATATTAAATCATGGCCATCTATGATTTAATAAAATACTATATTAAATCATGGCCATCTATATTAAATCATGGCCATCTATGATTTAATAAAATACTATATTAAAAATATGAATCCTTGAGGGATACTTTGTGCACTCTTTGACACGATGTGGGTGCGATACTATCTCAACCCTAAAACGTAACAAAGAAAATCATTCTATTGGAAAAATGTGAATGTGCACATTTAAATTAATCTAATTAGCCTGCGAGTCGAGTGGCTTCACACCACCTGTCAAACCAATTGGAACATATTCAATAAATTAAGAAAACACATGTATAATAGATTAAAAATATGTTTTAGTACATTACAATAAAACTGTCAAACTTTGTTCAACCATTCTAATGGTAAAAATCGGTCAAATATTAATTTTAACTTGCCTTTAATCAAATCGAGTTTTTTATTTTGACCTAACTAACCAAAGTACCGATTCACAGTTTGACTAGATAGGCCATATGGTCCTGTTCGGTTTTGATAACTATCGGTTAAATTACTTCTGGATTTACTCCATAACTATGTAGAATTCAATTGCTTATGAAGAAGGTTAGTGGTTCACAAGTTTTGACTCTTAATGACAATTGTACTATTGACATACTTTGTTACATAGATACTTTTATATGTGTGAGCATGTGATAGAATTCAAGTATCAGATATGCTAAATTTGAAAGGAAATGGTTAAAATAAGGTTGTGGAATAACCCTAAAAACATTGAAAACTATTGTTCTAGTGCCAGAAAACGTTCAAATCCATCATCTTGGCTTGATTGTGGAAAAAAAAAAAAATCGGGGATTATAAACCCTCAAAATAGTATATATACCATTTATTTTCAAGTGTTTATAGAGCCGCAAGATCTGCACAATTTTTCGAGATACAAATTTCATAATCGGTGCCAAAAATAGGATTTAGAGCCACCTCAGGGATTTCCATGCCCTAAGTTATTCCTAGATAAGATTTAGAGGCGAGGCTTTGCTTTTTTTTCATAAGGCCTAGGCCTTATCATCATTATCATTAGAGCATTTTCCCAACTATTTGAGATCGACTACAAGAATCTTGGTCTGCCATTCTACTCTATTAATGGCCATACCATCAGCGAGACTATAAGTTCCCATATATTTCCTCACTACTTCCAGTCATGTCCTTTTGGGCCTAACCCTGACCCTTTTTAAGCCTTCCACTTGAATCATCTTGCATCTTTAACAGGTGTTGTACTAGGTATGCGCTGCATATGGCCAGTCCACCTAAGTCTACTTTCTCTCATCTTATTGCCTTTTGGAGTCACACCTAAGTTCTCCCGAATGTATTCATCTTGAATTTTATCAATTCTTGTCTTGCCACTCATCTATCTCAACGTCCACATCTCATGTTATGCCTTGACTGCCTAACATTCTGCCTCATAAAGCAAATCGGGTCTCACAGTTGTCCTTTAGAACTTTCCCTTTAACTTCATTGGTACATAATAATCACACAAAACCCCAGTTGCATATCTCCACTTTGTTCATGCAACTCTAATTCTATGTATGACATCTTCCTTAATCTCTCAAGTTTATTAGATTATTGACTCAAGATATCGAAATTGTGTTTTTTTTTTTGTTGTATTTCTTGGCTGTCAATCTTAATTACTTTATCGTCTTTATTCCTATTATAACTAAACTTACATTCCATATATTCTATCTTAGTTCGTCTAATTTTAAAACATTTAGGTTCTTGAGCATCACTCTAAAGTTCTAATTTTGTGTTGATACCACTTCGGGTATTATCGACCAAAACTAGGTCGTATGCGAGCAACATGCACCACGGTACCTCAGTTGTGGGTGCTTAGTTAAGTCGTTCATAACTAAGACAAAAGAGGTATAGGCTCAACACTGACCCCTGATATAGAATAAAAACTCACTTGCCTCTCCACTAGTTGTTCGCACGCTAGTTAGCGCTCTCTCGTACATATCTCTCACCATATCAGTATAGTATTTAGATACTTGTTTATTTTCTAACATCCACCAAATTAAATCTTAAGGTACTCTATCATAAGTTTTTTCTTGATAAAAAACATACCATGTAGAGGTCTTTTTCATTTGTCATAAGCTTCTCAATCAGTTACCTAAGTAGGAAAATAGCGTCAATTATTGACCTTCCTCACATAAAACTGAATGGTTTTTTGAGACACATGTTTCATGCCTTAGTCATTTACTTAATCAATCTCTCTCAGAGCTTTATAATATAGCTCATAAGTTTGATTCCTTGATAGTTCACACAATTCTGTATATCTTCTTTGTTTTTGTTAATAAGTACCGCAATACTTTTTTTCTCCACTCATCTAACAATTTTTTTTTTTGTCAACACCCTGTTGAACATCTTAGTCGGCCAATCAAAGCTGATGTCTTTGATATACTTCTAAACCTGTATTGGATACCATCTCGTCCTAAATCTTTTCCTATCTTCATCCACTTGAGAGCTTCTTACATATCCTAATCCTACGAATGTATTTATGACCTTTGCCCTCATTTATGTCAGTAGTTTTTTCTATCACCTTGTTTCCAGTGTATGTATCATTTAATAATTTTTTTGAAAATAAACTCTCCACCGATCGTTGACCTTTTGATCTTCACTAAGACCCTGTGTTCCTCACTCTTAATGCAATTAAGATGGCCTAGGCCTTATAGAAATTGCATATTTTTTTAGAGCGATATTTCAATAAGAAATATTCAGACGAATAAGTGTCCATTTTTTTTTGAGTGAATAAGAAATATCAATTTTTAAAGTGTCAAACATGAATGTAAGAAAAAAAACTAGGATGCAGTTTATATAAGGCCCAGGCTTTATAAATACAAAATAATGCTTCACCTTGAATCTTCGTCCTTGAAAGCACTCTGGGCATTGAAAATCTCCATGATGCTCTAAAATTGATTTTCAATACACCATGAAATTTGAAGTTCAAAAAATGTTACAGATCTTACGAATATGTAGACACTTCTTTTTAGGATGAAATGAATGGTTTAGATAATATATTACATATTCACTATTTTTAGGGCTTGAAATATTTTTTTTTCCATAACCATAACTGTCAAGGCCGAGTTGATTAATTATAATTTTCGTTGAGTTTTGATACGAGGCTTTACCTTTTTTTTTGTTTTTTTTAATACAGGCTACAACCCGATCAGAAACATTTTTCCACTAATGAAAATGCCTCTACTATTAATTTATGGGGAAAGTTTATATAGTGCCGAGGCTCTAAACAATCAAATTTGAGCCTACATAAAAAATTTCACTCAAAAATGTTGTTTTCATGCCCAAATATCCTCAAATTGATCATCTCGACATCAAATGCATAGACATGAAAAAAAAATAGATTTCAAGTTTTGAAAATAAAATATTTTATAATATATTTCTGGACAATCAATTTTCAAGATTTTTAAGTTTTTATAGATATAGATCGATACTATTTTTGAAGCTTTAAACTTTATAAATAATGGTGAAAATATATTTTAAGGCTATCACAAGGATTTTCATTTTTCAAACCACACTTCTCTCGATACTAGGCTCTATACAAACCGCACCCTTGATTTATTAATGCTCCTCAACAACAACTGTGCTGTTTCGGACAACTCCCAATTCGCAAGTACCATGCCATTGCATTAAAAAGAAGAAATCGATGAGGAGAAGAAGCGCAGAGAGATGAGGAAGAAGAGCCTGGTGGCTTTGCTGGTTCTCGCCATTGTCGTTATTGGGTTCACCATCTCTCACAAGGTGCCCCCTTTCTTGCCCCCAACCTCGCTTGATGCTTTCTCTTTTTCCTTTCCTTTCTGGTCCTCTTTTCTTGCAAAATGAGAGGATGGGTTCACCTGATTTTTCTTCAAATTCTTAGTGGGTGATTGCTTTCATTTTCTGTTGGTTATCTTCCTTCTATTTTGATTGAATTCTGAGGTGGGTTTCTCAGTTTCTGTCAAAATAAGGCTATCAAGTAGTTCTGTTCTGTATGTTTGATGTATTTTTTTTCAAATTATACTTGCTTTCAATGAACCAACCAGGGTCTTTTTTTTTTTTTTATTTCTATATTTTTTTGAAGGATTGGATTTGATCCATTGGTGTTAATGTTCTTGATTGTCAGTGATCATTCCTAATTTGAGGGGTTGTCAAAGTGGATATTTATGTAAGGCCAGTCTATGAGCTGCGGTGTGGAATGAGAAATGAATTTATTTGGGGGGAACCCACATAGAACTAACGGATTTTAAGTTCTGTTCTCACGTCCTGTCGAGCTGGTTTGAGTTAAAAATGAGGGAATTTATTATAGAAATCTTCACCATGTACTTTTGGCTTTGAATTTGATTATATGATCTGAAATGAGTCTGCTAGACAGGTTTTGCACTTGCCTTTAGACACACCTTTTCTGATGTGGAGTGTAGTGGAAGACTTTGGCAATAAATGTCTCCCACACAATTTGTACCCCTTCTTGAATTGCTACTGGCAATGTACCCAATGCATCCTTCACTGTGTTTTTGAATAACTTCTTTCGTTGTGTTATTACTACCTATACCCATGTAGCCAAAGATATTGACTAATGGATCTGCCCATGTAGAAGCTCTTCATAATTCTCAATTGGCTCATTTCAAATGGGATTCACTTCCCAAACTAAAGAGTTTTCCTCTAACCTGTTTACTTTAGTTCTTAACATCTTTCCAATTGGGTCAATAACTCAGCGCCCTCTGTCCGGGGTGTGCACCTAGGGATGGACAAGTATATTGGTTGTGTTTTTGGTCATCTGGTTTCTTGTTCATTTATTTGGTCATGCATTTAGAATGTGACATGTCTAAGTCAGGAGAGTATCCATCTCTGATGGCCATTTTAGCTATTGATTGAGATACGATGTGGAGGAAATCATTTTTTTCCTTTTTGGTCAGAAGAAATTACTCCATTTAGCAATGTCGAACTTAGGTGTTCTCAATTGGCTAGAGGTTGCTCAATCCCTACTTGAGTAAAGTCTTACTTGCAAGCATCTCACTCTTTTTTGTTAGTATATCTTCATTTTTGTATATTGGATTAGCCTTATTTATGATTCCTATTTATATGACACAAGTATAACTGCATCTGGTTAGCTGGGTACTCATAGCTTTCCTTTCTTGACTTGGATCCTATTTCACATTCTTCATCCTCGCCTATATGCAATCAACCCTACTCAAGGATGATACTAGAGATGGTCCACACACACATTCTTTTTCTCATTGAATATGCTTTCATCTATCTTAACTTGAGTGGCTAGACTGTTGTTGTTTCCCATAAATGGGACTTATGCATAATTGCATAGAGTTAGTGTATTAACGAGGGATCTGATCTCAAATTTTGCTTTCTATACTATATGCTTGGATAAAGGGAAAATTCCTTGTAACTGCATTTTCCTTGGTCCAAATGGATGGAATTTATTTTTGTGAGGGATTCTTTTATGTTCCAATGGTCAACTAATGAATTCTGGCCATGGATTCCTGTAAGTTTTAACTGATGCTAGTCTCAAAAACTACTGACACGCTGCTTCTGCCTATACAATCACTGGAGAGCCCATTGCTCTTCATTCATACAATACACAGTTTCAGAAACCTCTGTAATGTCTTCAAGTAATGGTTAATCTTTCCTATATTGGAATTCTGGCCATGGATTCCTGTGAGTTTTAACTGATTCTAGTCTCAAAAACTACTGACACGCTGCTGCTGCCTATACAATCACTGGAGAGCCCATTGCTCTTCATTTATACAATGCACAGCTTCTGAAACCTTTGTAATGCCTTCAAGTAATGTATATTGGAGCTCTTCTAAACCTGTCAAAGGAATTTTTCTGTTTGATATTGAAGATTCAAACTCATAAAAAGAGTAGCTTCAAATATTTGTTGCTTCTCCTAGTCGTTCACAAGTCTGCACAATCATCTCCACTTTGGTGGAAAAAAAATGGATACTGTTCATTTTCAATATTACTTGGACCTTGGTGAGTGTTTCTACCTATCTAGAAAAACAAATGGGTAAGCCCTTTCCATGTTATGCTATCTGGACATTCCTTATGACTGTAGTCCGACATCTGTGGAATTCATTGGGAGCTATTTGAGAGCAATCCGTTTTCCAAGTCACTGTTTTCCAAAATCCATACTCTCTAAATTGATTTGACAAAAATTATTGCAAAATTAACTCTCCTGTTGATAGGTCTGACCTATTGATTATTTCAACACTGAAGTTCCTTCATGTGACTAGAATCAGTTGGGACTGATTTTGGTGAACAGAGGTTTAAGGTGGATTTTGCCTTTAGCAATGTAATCGCTTCCAAAAATCAAATATGTTCAACTTTTTAAAATTCAGATTTGTATAAAGAACCCCAATAATCTTCTTTATTGATTTTTCTCCAAAATAACCATACCAGAGAAAAGACTCCCAGATTTGGCCAAATCTAGCCAGCTCTTGCCTTAGTTCAGAGAAAACTGTGATTTATAACTCAAGCGTGCTTTGATTGCGCACTTGAGGGAAAACCCACTTTGCTGAGAACCCTTCTCAAGGGTTCAACTATGGGTTTCTTCTTAAAAGAAAACTCTTGTGCCATAACTCTTTTTCGTTTTTCCTGGTAAGATTCCCAAATTAGCTCTTATTAGGTTTTCAAGTGATTTTATGTCTTCTTTGTTTTTTGGTTTTGTAGAAATTTTTGGTCTATCTAGTGGTTGGATTGTTACATTTGGACCTTAGGTTATGATACATTAAATAATCATGCATATTTTGATATGAATGAGTTGATCAATGCTAATGCCAGGGTTCATGTGATTGTCCAAGGCTCTGCAAAGTAAAGATTAGAAATGCATTTATGAAGTACATGCTGAAGCAAATCCTACCACTGAACTAACCAAAAAAGTCCACACTGAATTTAATGCTTGTTTTTGAGCTTTCCTCTCTGTCTTTTTTTTTATTTTTTATTTTATAATTTACTGTCTTTCATTAATGTGAATACTAAGCTGTACAACTTGTGTTTCAGCTGTTTTGGACACACATCTTTCCTCATATTTATGCATGAGCCTTATCATGCAGCACCTGACAAATGATAATCTATATTTTATGAATTTGTTCTTTGATCCCTCTGATCACATGCTTTGAAATACCACAGGATTTTCATACATATTTGGTATGGTCTTTGTTGTACTTCTGATAAGCGTCATCTTTCATTTATTCAATAGGTGTATAGTTTCTTATGACACTATTATATTTACTTTAGGAGGAAATACAAAAGGAAGATATCCATGAAATCACTCATAGAGTGTACTTGGATGTGAATATTGATGGTCAGCATGCTGGTAAGTGAACTTTCCACTATTTATTTCCTTGTCATGATTTATTTATTTTTAACTGTTACTTTGATTTCATTCTCAACTTCGAACTAGTAGACCGGAATGGCTTTTGTTTATTTGGTTGGTTTGCTGAACATTTTCAGGAAACTAAGAAATTTCGCTTCTACATCTTGAAGCATCATGATGGTATTCATAGTAGATACATATGGGCAATTTTATCATTTTTCGACTACGGTCTTAACAGTTCCTACTTTGGAACTGTTTTCTTTAATATTTGAGACTTCCTGCCATGTTATTGGACTTTCGAATGTGGCATTTGGAATTCCTCTCTGGATTCATACACGTGTGTGTGTGTGTGTGCATGCATGCACACTCCTAGGGTAGTGTCATTTCTTATGTTCCTTTTATAGTTGTCCTGTTATTTGTTTATGGACATTATTGTCCTCACTGGTGAAGCATCTCACGTTTCTATATTTTAAGCAAGTTCAGTTTTTGGGGTGAAAAGGTTTAGTTACTCCTGTTTCATTGGGAAGGTGGCAGTTTCTTTTTTAATGCAATGACTCCTATTTTAGTGGTGGCTCCTACTTTAATCCTATATCTCTTGAAATGTACAAATATCTGAACTCACGCATTATTACATTCCAAGCCTCTCTTTACTTTTTCATCAATCTTCTCCTGTTCCAGTATGGAAATATATTTTAAATGTTCCTACCTCCTCATGTCTTTGCCATTGTGAGCTTTTCTATTCTCAATCCTTTTGAAATTGTTGGAGGGTCGCACCTTTAACCTGAGGTCTCTCCTCATTCTAACCCAGTCACAGATCCTGTTGATCCTTCCAGTTCATCTAAGGTATGTAAAGCTGGCTGTCCTTCCATTCCTCTGAAATATTGACCCGTACTTCATGTATCTCTTTCGTTTATTTGTACATCTCCTCATCTTATAAGTAGGCATCTGTATCTCATTACTGGAGGGAAACGATGCAATGAGAGAGGCAAGCCCCACAGGACAATTACACATATTGGGTGTCTGTTTTTAAACTGTAATTGAAGTTTGGTGGCAATTTTCAGTGTTAAAAAGCTACGATTCCTTCAATATTTATCCACAATATGTGATTGAATATTAAGAGAAATTTGCATTAGTTACTTAAAGCATTGTTCACCATCTCTTTCCCTTGGATTCATGAAAAATTAGGACATCCTCCAAATGGATATTAGTGGTCCATTCTCCATTGGGACTCGAAGGATTTGCTTCCACTCTAGAAGCTCGACTCTGCAATCCGAGACACGGGATGTCGATTCCGGGTGATTCCATGATATTTGGGATCTTGTTTCAGGAAATTAGGAAAGTTGATTCCATGCAAATGGTATCCAGATCCCTATGCCAAAAATCGTGGTTCCATGATCAAGCGGAACCACGATTCGACCAAGTTGGAGTATCCTCTACTTGGGAGCGAGTTTGACTGGCACATGTTTTGGTTCAATTACAATGGAGTGTGTGGATCTCCAATTTTTTAATACCGAAAAACTTTTTGAATACCATGATTTTCTGCATTTTGACCTTGTGATTTGTGACTTGTGTCTAATTTCAAGAAAGGCAACAAGTGTGGGCAAGGAGAGAGAAGGAAGAAGTTGGAAGGAGATACAAAAGTTAGTCGCATTGTGGTTCTATTGAGGAATGAGGAGGCGATCAATACCGATCACTTCACTGGAGATAGTTAATTGGGTCATGTCCACCTCCGGCAGAATTTCTATCATTTGATGTTTGTCAACCAATTCAAGTCACTCGTGGGGTTGCCTTACGGGTGATGGAATGACATATATGCTTGGAAAATGTGAGACCCCTTTTGTGTATCATTGAGCCTCTAGAAATCGTCGACGGAGGAGAACTATTGAGAATTGTATACGGCAATATCTTCCTTTTTTTCTTGTTTTACAAAGCAGAGCTTAGCTATTATGGTTTTTTGGAAACACTGTATCACAACTTTCTTAAATGTAATCATGAATTGATATTCAAGTGGTCCCTGTCCAATCCAACCAGTTGGTTCCAAAAATGAGGACGTGTGTGAACATAGGCATACTAGATAGGTGTGAAATTAATTTTTACAATGAATCTTGCTTAAGTATTTTTTTTTATCAGGGTGTGTGACGAAGCTTTTGTCAACTCCAAGGTTAAGATGAAATAGATGTGTGTTATACATCTTGTTAATGGTACATTATTATCCTAATGAAAGTACATAAGGGGAGCTGAGAGAATTTATTCTTGTCATTGCGTGCGAGAAGGAGATGATCACAATGTTTCCTAAGGAATTTGAGGAGAACGGGAGTCCATGAAACCCCCCAATGACTGTATTAGAGAGAGACAGAGAGAGAGGGAGACATGGTCAAAGGCACAAAGCTTCTTTCGTGCGAGAGAGAGAGAGCCGAGGTCAAGGACACAAAGATTCTTTCGTGTCCGAGGACTCTGGTAGGCTATATTGGATTTTGAGTATCACTACTTGTATGAAATCATTACTCTTATGACAAGAAAAATTCAAAGAGAATTTCAATCATATGATTTTTGTTTACATTGGTACTTGGGTTTGTGAATTTGGATAAAGTTAAACATATTGTTCTTTGGAATTAGCTCCCAAATTATAATACAGGGGAAAGCGAACTACAGGAATCTTGATCCTATGCACAACGGAACGCAATCCCATTTATTAAGAAACACGCTCCTATGTAGATAAGAAAATGCTCTTGTGCAAATATGGATCCCGCTCCCTAAAAGCTAGGGATTTCGGTCCCTTTACATGACCATGTACAGACCTCGTTCCCTCTACTATGGAACTTCGAGCCTACCTCGGTCCACACTCCCACTCCCACTCCCAATCCTGGATCTCTTGTCACTCCCGTTTTGGGTAAATGTGATACAGACAAGTTATGATTATTCTTTCCTCTTTTTCTTTTTCCCTTTTTTTTTTTCTTTCTTTTGATCTCTCAGGACTGCCACATGACCCTGTCATCCGAGCCAAGGCTTGGAGAGAGTGGTCTTCTATGGAGCTTGATACTCCATTGGGACCCACATCTGGCATTCACACTCTGGCCATGTGACATCATGGAATCATCCAAATTGAGGTGTGTGTCCCCATAATGTCAATGGAAATAGATGTGTAACCTATATAACAGATACTGCTCAAGTAAGGTCATTTCCTACAAAAACAGGGACAGTACTTCTTTTGCTTTATTTCGATGACCTCTTGGATCATATGATGAGTTTTGTTCGTCTAGACCTCACCAAATCATGTCATGGTTTCTACTTTTGCAAAGTGACATGAAAGTCCTGTACTCCAAAGATGATGGGGCATCTAGGGAAGATCCTCCACTTTATGGCCTCTTGGCAATTTAGTTCAGACATTGCTCCCAAATATCGTTCATACCTCTTGGTCTTCATTTGGGCAGTTCCTGTGTTATGTACCATATTAGTGGGAACTTCCGATGAAGCTTTTTTGTCCCCTGCTTCTGCCTCCATAGAGGTTGTTCAATCTTGTAATGTTAGTTTCATTGGATGTCTCGATATGAAATACCAGCTTTTTTTAGTTTTTCATGGGAAACTTATTTTCATTGGACTGCAAGATTTTGTATCCATATCCAACATGGAGTTGGAATATAAATTGATCATCCACTTGCAGTGTGATGCTTTTATTACGTAGGTCACTTTCTCAGGCATACTGATTACCTCCACACTCTAATCCACACACTTCTACATGGAAATGATATTGACACCATATGGATTTCCTCTAATCTGGTATCGCATTAGTATACCTGGGTTAGATCTCCTTTATATTTCATTCATCTGATTTTCATTTCGCAGATTTGTTCACCAAGGCCATGACTTGTGCATGTGATTATTTTTTGGTGGGCAATAGGAGAAACTTCATTGAGGCCTGATCTCCATTCATGATTGTATTCAAGCTTTAGTTAGCTGATGTATTTGCCAAAGCCATGACTTGTGTACAAGATTGGTTTTTGGTTGGTGCTTGTTGACCTTATTGCATTTGTTCGATGGGGAGTATTAGATGCAGTCATAGTATATGTATTTGTAATTCATTTCATTACTCAAGGATATCAATATAATTGTATGTAAACCGTGGGCATGTTAGTCATGGTCTATTTATATTATGTCTGTTTTAAAGCTTGCCTGTTAGGGCATGGTGAGATGAATGGAAACCTAAAGCTTATTCTCCTCAGTCTTGTGGTTTGCTCTCTATCGTTCTCTCTCTCTCTCTCTCTCTCTCTCACACACACACACACACACACACACACACACACACACACACACACACACACACACACACACACACAC